AGTAAAGGAGGGGATACCAAAGTAACGTGACAAGTGAAAGGAGGTGACACCGGTGACATCATTACTAGTTATGTTAAAGGAGGTGACACTGGACTAGAGTGGGTCGTCCACTTCTATGAATGGTGATTTCCTTTGAAAAGGAGAGACGGGCAACATGGTCACGTGACAATGCATCTAGACGCTAAGGACCGCTAGGCTTCGAAAGTCAGGGGGAAACAAGGCAGGACCCTCCCCTACTGCATCTGGAGGGACCATGGCCTGAGGACACCTCATCATCAGGACTGGGAGAGTGGACATTTCCGTTTTAATAAGCCACACACGTTGTTGTGTGCACTGGTCACAAGATACTCAGGTAACACGTCTATCAGGTTTGGGACTGTCTTCTTCCTGTCCCACTGAGGGGATATACACACTCAGGGAGTCCCAAGGCTGCTTCGAACAGATCTTGAAATTAAGATACTTCCATTCTCAAGAAGTCTAAGTGCTGGAATGTGCCTAAGGAAATAGGGGAGAGGTTCAGGGGGCCGCTGCCCAGTCTGGCTCGGGGTTCTACCCCCACACCCAGCCTTTGGCCAGGCTCCTCCCCCACCCCTAGCTCCATATGCCTGTTTTCCCCCAGAGGGCAAGAGATGGGAGCTAAGGTCACATATATGTGTATGTATGTGACGGTGACCTGGCTCTGAGCCTCAGTTTCTCCATTAGGAACATGGACACGATGGCAGCCCCTACTGAGGAGCTTGCTGGAAAGATGAAGACATAGTCCAAGAATGTGGGCTGACGCCTCAAAGCAGAATGGGTCCTGAATCTAGAAGGACAGTGGGTGTCAGACTAACCAGAGAAAATGGGGGTGGAAACCATGCACAGAAAAACCCCACATTCACAAATGCGCACAAGACAGTGTCCACACAGGAAATTCCAGGTTACGGTTAGGCTCTCGTTCATGCCTTCATAATATTGTGAATATGATATACTTTTCTTGTGGTCACATAACTACAGTGTGCAATTGGTGTAGGTTTTTTCATACAACCTTCAGCCCTGCTCCTCTGGGTCCCTTAGGCGTCTTTGGTCCTCCAGGATTCTCTGGCCCCCAGGGGTCCTCAGTTCCTAGCTCCATACTCCTATCCATCACTTTGACCCGAACCCTCCCACCCAGGCCTTCTAGGATCCCAACTACAGCCTGGTCTACCCCAGCGCTCCTGAAGGATTCCAGCCCGGCGAGGTTCATGTGAAAGTCCCCATCCCGAGACATCACTCACAGATGCAGAATTGTTCTCCTGTGTGTCCAGACCAATGAACGCCCCAACCGGTGCAGGATTTTAGCCCTAACTTCCTATTACCAATCACAGATGTATTGTGTCTGTCACCCCATGTACCCCAGACCACCATGCACAGATGCAGTCATACTCATGTGGTACCCCGTCCCCCATTCACAGATGTACCATGTTGTCCCCCCATCCCCCACTCATAAATGTAGGAGTACTCATGCCGTCTCCTGTGTGTCTCCCCCCCACTCCCCCCACTCACAGACGTAGTCGGATTCATGTCGTTTCCCCCCACTCCCCCCACTCACAGACGTAGTAGTACTCGTGTCCAGGGCGGAATTCAAAGCCCAGCGAGAAGGGCGTGAAGAGCTGGAACTTTTCCGAGAATTTGAGGGGTCCTCCGGGAGCCGTGGGCTGGTTGCACTCCCAGCGCTTGAAGCCGCGCTGCCGGTGGTCGCAGGAGGCGTGGCCCTCGCCGTTGACCATGTACAGGATGTAATGTTCCATGGACTCGGCGGGAGTCAGAGGCGCGCTGTAGTGTGGGCAGTAGATGTCCAGGTAATCGTTGATGCTGACCTCCACCGTGTAGCTGCCGCCGCCGCCACCGTCCACCGCGCCCGCCTGGAACCTGCCAACAGACAGGGGGAGGTGCGTCATCGGCGGGGTCTGGGGCGTGAAGAGAGGGTCAGAGTGCTCCCCAAAATGGGAGAGAGTCGGGGGAGGTGGAAGGGGCCAGGAAAGAGGTCACGGAGGAAGCCAGGAGCCTCACGCATTGGACTCCATTTCCCTACTGGTGGTCGGACTTGAAGTGACGGGCACCTGAGCCCCTCTGTCCCCTCCCCCAGTCACCCGCACTGAATCGGGCTCAGATCAGATGGGACCTGCGTTTAAACCCCAGCGCCAGGGGACCCCAGGTCTTCTTGGTCCCCACCCCTACACCTCACTCACCAGATCTCTGCCTTGCCCACCACTCCCCTTCCCACACCGGTCATCGTCAGCCGGTCCCCTTGCCCTTCCGCAGGGCAGCCCCTTAACCCCCTTGTCATCCTGGCAAAAATGGAGGTCAGCCGGGGGAGGGGGCCGCGGTTCCTCTGCCATCACCGCCTGGGGCTACAGCCGAGGAGCCCTCAGATCTCCAGAATGTGGGTCTCCCGGGTCCCTGTCACATAAACGCAACCAGGCCGAGGGCGGCACAGGGGGACCCAAGAGGGTCTTATTAGCACATAAAAGGGTTAGTATTTCCAGGCGTGGAGCAGAGCCTCCCTGAGCCACCCCTACCTCCTCCCTCCCCGCAGAGGTGAGGTAGACTGATCCCACCAGACCTCAGGCTGTGGGGGATGGAAGCAGCTGGCCCCTAGAGGGGTGGGCAAGCAGGCAGCCCTGCTGACCCGTGCCTCAGTTTCCCTGTCAGTCACAGGCGATCCTGTGGGAAGATGTCCAGGGTGTGTGGGTGAGTGAAGGATTGAGGAGCCTGGAAGGTGGCATGGATCCTACAGAGACAGAACACTCAGCTCTCACCATGGTCCTGTGTCACGCTGGTGTAGCAGTAGGGTGGGTACCAGGGAAGCAAAACATCTCTATCCAGGGAGATTCCGGAGGGGGTCAGGCTGGGCCAGGGGAGGGGAGAACGTGGTCCCGAGGCTCACCCTATGTTTCCTCCTCCTCCTCTGTGTGTGTATGGGGAGGCCATGAGGAAAGACTTACATTTACACAGGAGACACTGCAGAGCTTATGGCCTGGACAGGGAATGACTCGGCCGGTCCACCACTGGGCTGCCCTATGGCTCTGACCCTCCTGTCCTCTGGCTCTGCTGACTGATGTGAACCCCCCAGGCATCTTCAGAGGTCTTCACTTAGAGCAGCAGTGAGGGCTCTAGTGGTCAGCAACTGATGAGCTTCAGCTGAGTACCTGCCTGGCCTGCACGGGAAGCCACAACGGGAAGCCATGGGCAGGGCCAAGGACCAGTGTCCTCAGTCCTCTGGGGCCTCTCTCCTTTCCCATTCCTAGGAGGAAGTCTGGGATCTACACTTTCCAGAGAGGGGACATCCTTGGCACGTCGCAGAGCCTTTCTGTGGAAATGGACTAGGACAAGTCCACTCCTCCGCCATTGAAAGCATCCGTTTGTGGCTCCCCCATCTGGCCTGCTCTCCTGTGTGCCACTAACCCACAATGCTTCTCTCTGCCATCACATCCCAGGCTGATTTCTCGCCAGGAGGCTCTGGACATCCCTAACTCCAGGGTTGGCGTTTGTAGCTGTAAGCTAGAACTTCCATGGTTCCTCATCACTCAGAATAAGAAACACTTGCCTCTCAGGTGCAGGAGGCCGGTGTGATTCAGCCTTCCCTGGCCCCCATCCCTCCAGCCACACCTGTTTTGTCTTGGGGTCTTTCCCATCAACCTGCCGTGATAGTATTTATACCTTTAGGGGTTTGAGGGCTGGGTCAAGGCAGACCTTCTCTGCCCCTTCCCTCACATCCCACAGACCTCCGTAAAGCAGAGGTTGTTGATTCAATGTGTGAATTTTGAAAAGGCCCAGGGCTTGAGATCTTTGGGTGGTCAGAGTCGTGGGGAGTGGGGAGGGCAAGGACCCAGGCAGGTGTGTCCCAGGAGAAGTCCCCTAGCCCCAGCTCTGCCGCCTAAGTGGGCCTTTTTCCCCCCCTTTCCGGCTCTAAAATAGCGCAGGGCTTGCTACGTTGGCATTCCAGGTTCCAAGCTGGCTGGCGGGCGCATCGGGGGCGGGCACCTCGCCCAAGCTCAGGGGTGGCGCCTGCTCCAGGGAGGGGGCCCCGACCCCAAAACCAAGTCCTCAGCTAGATGAAGACAAAGCCACCATCCTCCATTAGTGTTGAAACCTGAATTTGCAAACAGCTCGGTGGGAGAGAGAGAGAGATCGAAATTCTCACTAAGGGGTTAATGACTGATTTGGGAGCATTCCCAGACCGAGACTCTCCCAGGGTGGCTGCTCCCTTAGGTGCGTCCCCACCTCAGTGACCACTGTGAACTCTACTCCTCCAGGCAGCTCTCCTGGCCCCCTAACCTTCCAGTCCTGCCCACCCCAGGCCAACTGGACCCCACCCGGCAATCTCTCAGCCTACAGCTAATTAGCTCCAATTCTCCACCGTCAAGTCATTAGATGCTAATAGCAAAGCAAATAATTAGGAGTTTCACCCAAAAATGCTGTGGAGGTAGGATGTGCCACCTTCCCAGATGGGAAACTGAGGCACCGCAGGGCTGTTTCCAGCCCACACCACTGGCTTCTCTGTGTCTCTCCTCTCTCCTTGACCTACGCCTTACTATGATGTCTCCCTTCCACAAAGATCAGAGAATGGTCCAGAGGTCCTGAAAGCCAGTGCAGGGCTCACCAGGCCCCTCCCTCTGCTGACCCATGGAGGACACCCACCTGCTCACTTCCCCCTTCCGACTTTCTAAAGATCTGAACACCACCTGTCCCTGTGTAACACCTGGCAGTCTTTCTTCTGGCCGAGGACAGAGTCAACCAGGAAAGACAACCATGAGCTCATGGGTCAGAAGGGTCAACTGAGGCAGGGTCCTAGAGCTGAAGCAGGAGAGAAAAAACAGTGGGGGATCAAAAGGCGGGGCAGACAGCAGGGGCAGCGCAGTGGGAGCAGGCTGTCCACAGGGTGTACCCGTCCATGACCAGCCACACCCTGTTCCCCAGAATGCACCCAACATCCTGGCCTGCCCCAGACACGGCTGTTTCTAGGGGAGGTAGGCACACCACGATTTGGGGTCCTATTCTCTTTGGGCCTCAGTTGCTCTGTTTCTGTACCACCAGGTGCTCGGACAGGGGTCCTTGAAGCCAGGGTCCTGGGTCAGATAGGCAAAGTGAGGCACAGGGGCCGCCTGGTACTGGGCCCCTCCACCCCAGCCAGGGTCCCCAAGGCCAGCTTCAACAGATGTGAGCAGGGCTGCAGAACTAAAATGTCTGATGGGGGGACACAGGCCCCCACCCCTCAGCTGACTTCACTACTGCCCACTCTGCTATATGTTTTGGGTGGACACAGCCTAGCCCTCCTGCTGAGACCATCCCTGAGAGAGAAAAATCCCAAAAGCAAAAACTTAGGGGAAGGTTTGGGAGGGAGGAGGGAGAGAAAAGGTCAGAGCACAATCCTTCAGCCCGGGGGCCCATAGCCCACGGTCAGCGGCATCTGTCCCCAGGCCCTGGACAGGCCGCCCCAGGGCCCCTCAGGGTCCTTCACAGACACCTGCAGACATTTCGGGGCAGGGTGGGGTAGCCGGAAGCTGATGGAGGCCCAGACACTAGCCCCCTCAGCTCACAGAGGGACCCTTCCTTTATGCCTCAGTTCCTTCACCTGCAGACTGGGAACAAGAGAGCCACCCAGAGAGTGAGTGGGGAGGGAGGAACGTGTGTGTGTGTGTGTGTGGGGGTGCAGAGACAATGATCTCCCAGTGCACCTGAGAGGGGATGAGATCGAGACCGGCCAGCCCCGGAGACTCTAGGCCCAGCACAAAACAGGCCTGCTCAGGGCTGGGAGTCAGACCCAGGGTGGCCAAGCCAAGGCCCTGCAGCAGAGGGGGGTCTCAGAATTTCCTACTACAACCCCCAGCACCTGGGCTGCGGTTCTTCAGCCTGATGCTGCTGCCTTAGGCCATGGGGGGGGGGTCCCTCCTCTCACCCAGCGGAGCGGCCTCTGTTTCCCCACCCTGTGTGGTAGGTAGCCCCTGAACCCCTTGGTTCATGCCCGAGTCCTGCCCCATCCGCACCAGGCTCCTTTGCCCTCAGCCAAGAGGCACAACATACCGAACGCACTCCAGCAGCCAAGATGCCCGACCGCCCAAGGTCATACCAGGTTCCCTGGACCCCCCAAGTCCTCCCCACAGCCTCTGTTGCTCAGGTCCAGCTCATCTTACAGTCCGAACCCCCCAAGTTGGATAGACAAGTTCCTTTCCCGCATAAACCTGGCTGCACCCCACCAAGCCAGCTCCCCAGAAAACCCCAGGGCCTGACACTCCATCCTCTTTGCAGCCAAGAACGTCCCTCCCACAGGGGTCTACCCAGCCCCAATCGCATCTCCCACCCTATTGCTGCAGAGGGAGATGTGGCCGCAAGCACTCCTGAGGGATATGGCCAGACAGGGTCCTGGGTGCAGGCGGAAACCCAAGTGCCTGGGTGGGGCATACACCAGCCCCAGTGCCCCCCACCTAGCCAAACCACAAGTCCAGGCAGGCCGTGGGTTCCCAACAGAAGGTGGGGTGCAGACATACGGGGACAGCAAGCACCCAGAGGGTAACAGAGGAGCGAGCAGGGACTGAGGTGCAGCCGCCCCTCCATGTGGACCACTCACTCTCAGGGCTGCTGCCGCCCCCAAACCTGTGCACATCCGCACACGGACACGCTCACACAGACCCATGCAGCACACAATGGAGACATGTTCACACACACACGTGTGCACGATAGACACACTGAGGCAAACCCATGTGTGTACAATAGACGCGCTCCCACAGACGCATACATGCACTACGGAGACAGGCTCATGTAGACCCACACAGGTATAATAACCGTGTTCACACACAGCCATGTGTGTACCCCATGTAAGGATACGCATAGCCTACAGACATGTTTCCAAATAGACACGTGTGCGTGCCACAGATGTGCTCGTATGGCCACATGTATGTGCTCCTTGCAGACTCTGCAAATGCATGTGTGTGCATCCGTACACACACATCTCAAATGCAGATACATAGACACACACATGCTGCAGACACAGGTACAAATAGTACAAATCTAGGACGAAGTGAGAAGACACAGATATATGGTGCAATCCGTAACATACACATGCGCACCGCACAACATGGACACACGACTTGCATGGCCCCCAGGACACCCTAAGGGCCAGCATGTAAGCAACACGCAGTCACATGTGCAGATAACCCCTACTGCTGATGCAACACCCCCCAACACAGATGGACACACAGACCAACTCTGAGCTCTGCAATAAGGCTGGATCTCACTTGGGGACCGCAGCCCAGCCTGGGAGAGGCCAAGACGCCCACAGACCATCCCAAGGCACCTGACCTGCCAGACACTGGACAATCGGCCATTGCCTGGGCTCAGGTTGGGTGACTTGGCTGGCCAGCAAGGCCCCACCCTGCCGCGCCTGTGGGGTAGGTACAAGGTTCCCTCGATGGTGCAACTGGCCGCCAGTGTGAAGGAAATGCATTTCACAGCAGGAAGAATGCAATTTGGGAAACACAGCCACATACTTATTACCTCGGTGCAGGTAGAAGGGCCTGGCCGGGGCACTGGCGGGAGGTGTGGGGGGGATGGGGTCACTGCAGAGCTGCGTCTACCTGCTGGCCCCTCATCAGAGCAGGGGGCTGGGCTGCTCCTCTGGCCCTAACACTGCCCATTCACCCCCCATCTGAGAGTGCCACTTCTAGCCCCTTCCTCCCTCAGTGTCTTTTGTGTGTGTCCTCTCAGCACGGGTCTCTCCCAGTCACCATCGCCCTAGACCACTGCTGAGCTCTCTGGCTGGGATGCACCCCGTTCTCAGCTCCCCAATCCTAACCCTCCCCACCGGCTCCTGGTTCCATGATTAGATGCCAACCCCTCTTGAGAAATCCTTATCCTGGATCCCCTAAGATGCCAAGGCCCAACACCCACTACTCCCCTTTCATGCCCAACACAGACGTGTCACCAGCCGCTGGGCCACATTCCTGGGTCCACTTCTGCAGAGCCACCAACCTCAGAGCCTAATGAGGCCCCGATTCAGGATGGATCCGGAGTGAGCTTAGCGGATGAGGTACTGGCCCATCATGGGGTGAGGGGAAACTCCAGGCAGGAAGAGGATGAGGAGGAGAGGGAACAGGGGAGTCCCCTAGGAGGAGATGGCTGCAGGGCCGGCTCCTCAAACAAGCAAGGCTGTCCCCTTGGAACAGGCAGCTGGCACACGGGTCACAGTCACAGTCGAGCAGCAGAAGGTGACTGAGTGACCTACAGAGCCAGGCACCCGAGCAGACTCCCTTCCCAGCCAGAGGCCCCACAAGAGAGTCCAAAGCCTCCCGTGGCAGGTGGGGACATTAGGCGGTTCTGACGGGGCCCCATCCTTCAGGCTGCTCAGGGCTCCTCTGCCTTTGGCACTCGCTAGAACAAAGAACAGACCACGCAGGGGACGGGACTCCACAGCTGAAACCAAAAACTTGGGCCAGGAAACGCTGCCCGCTGGCTCCCGCATGGCCAGAGACCAGGAAACACCTTAATGAAACCCACATGTGACCAGCAGTGCAGGACGGGCTCTGCGGTGGCCCTGCCATCCCTCTGTGATGACCTGCGGTCCTTGCCCTTGGCCCCAGGGTCCAACCCCATGGCCCAGCAATGGAGGGGGGGTGTCCAGCGTACTCCCTGCCCCCACGTCAGGGCACTGGCCACCCTTGTCTAGGAGCCTGCCTCAAAGAAGGCCATTTGTGCAACTTTCCACCCTCGGCTCAGGACAGATGCTCTGGAGGTGGCTCAGCTGGTGCACGCAGGAAGTGACTTGTAGACTGAGAGAAAGTGACCGACGGGTGGTGGCAGAGGGGCCAGGAGCAGGGGGGCTGAACACCTGGGCCCCTGATGTATATCCCTGCCCAGCTGGCCCCCCAAGCAGCAGTACACCAAAGCCTGTCTCCAATAAAGACCCCCAGCCCTCAGAGACCTAAGATGACCCAGTGGTGTCCAGGCTCGGCCAGGCTCAAGGAAACTTTTCTCTCCCCAGTGAAGAGGGGGGAGGTGTTCCAGCTGCTCCCCAAACTGCTCTCAGTGCTGGGCACAGGCCTGGGCTAAAACAGTGGGTGGAGTGCAGGCAGGTGGTGGGTGGGTGACGAGCCGTAGCAAGGTGTGGCAGGCTGGGCACAAGATCCCCTGGGTCCTGGTCCACGTCGGCTCCCCCGGTTATGACCTTGAGTCAGAGCCTTAGTTTCCCCATGAGTGCTGGGAAGATGGGAGAGGGCAGCACCCCAAGCCAGGCTGACCCCCACACCCTCTGTGTTTCAGTCTCTCCCCCTCCATATAAAGTGGGGGCCCCCTGGTGTGAGCATGGGGCATTGAGAGGGACATCCCAACTTCCCCAACTTTGGGAACCCATCCGCAGAAAGTACTACAGAGTTCTCGCCAGGGAGCCACGATCCCCACCTCTGGGGAAGCTCTGTGGTGAGGTCTCTGGGGGTGCCTACCAACTCCAAAGACATTGGGAGTCCCTGTGGAGGCCTGTAGAGGTAGGTACCCCAAGAATGAAAAAGAAACCCAAGGATTTCAAAGCTTCTGCCGGGTAAGGAACCCCGAAGTCCACGGCACAGTGGTACACGGACACCCCAAGTCTGCAAGGCTGTGGGCGGCCGGACCCTCCTGGAGGACGCACGAGGAGAACAAGTACCCCAAACTCCTGGGAGCCCAACTCCCTGGGGGGGGAGCTCCCTCGGGAGCCAATGTCCCCATCCCGGGCAGTGCCCGCTGGAGACCCGGGACGCTGCAGGGACACCCCAAGCTCAGGGCCAGGAGGCCCGGCTGGGGGCGTCGGGTCCCCGGCCCCCCCTCCCCACGGCGCTGCTGCCGCTCACCTGGGGTTGCTGCGGTTCCAATAGACGGCATAGCGGTCCGAGTTGGCGCGGGCAGCGTCCTCGGCGCGCGCTAAGGGCGGCGGCGGCGGCAGCGGCAGCATCAACAGCGGGATCAACAGCAGCAGCGGGCGCAGCGGCGCGGGCGCCATGGCCCCGGTCCGGCCGCCGCGCTCTGGCCGCCGCCTGCCAGCGTCTCCGCCTTCTCCGCCGCCGCCGCGCGGGCGGGAGCGCGGGAGGAGGGGCGGTGCGAGGAGGGCGCGGCGGCGCTTGGAGATCCCGGCGCCCCCGCCCCGCCCGTGCGCGACCTCGGGCGCCGAGAAGTCAGGCGGCGGGGGCGGGGCGGGGCGCCGGGATCGGGGTGCGGTCGTGCGGACGCTCAAAGCGCGGGACGCGGCCGCCGGCACCGAGCGGGAGCTCCGGCCTTTGTCCCGCGCGCGAGCGCTAGGAGGGCCGCGGGCGCCCCCTCCCGCTGTGCCCCGACCGCCGGGGGCTGGGCGGAGGTGGGGGGGCTCCAGCCTCAGCCGCGTCCCTGCCTTGGCCGCGTGGCCACCCTGCCCCAGACCCATCAACCGTCAACCCTAGCCTGTTCCACCAACCCCAAACTCTGGCCTCCACCAACCACCGGGCCTGGCTCGAGGGTCCAGAGTCAAAAGCGCCCGAAGCCTAGCAGTTGTGGGCAATACAGGGGAAAGAGGCCTCGGTTCACAGCATCTACTGCGCAGTGTCTACTCGGCGCCGGTGCTTGAGATGGCGCACCTGGAGTCTCTGGGCCTCCCCTGTGATCCTGCCACTGTCTGCAGCCCCCACAAACCCAGGCACATACATTCTAACCAGGGCAGGGTCTCTAGGCCTCAGGGAGGGTGGCAAAGAGTCCCAAGGATAGAAGTCCCCGTCGATGGCTGCTCTCCAATGAATTCGAGGGGCACGTCCCCTTTCTGGGCCTTGGTTCCTTCATCGTGATGCGAAACAGGAGTCCTTACCCAACCCCTAATAGTACCAGGGTACAGAGTTCATGACACGTGGGATCCAAGCAGCCCAGGATCTGGGCTGACAACAAGGAGTGGACACACATCAGTCCACCGGGCAGAAAACACAGGGAGAGCCTTCCAGGCAGAAGGGGCAGCCCAAGCAGAGAGCAGCGTGTGGGAAATGCTCAGGGAAACTCAAGAATCCTCACACCCGGAAAGCTAACTACAGGTCCGAAACTAGGGCCCAAGCGCTAGTCCTGTCCTTATTTTATGCCTCAATTTTCTCACCAAACTGAGTTGTGGAGGGTATACTGTCTCTGGAAAGAGTGCGGAAGGCCCAGATTTGATTCCCTGGCCCAAGGCCTGGTGCAAAGGGGAGCCCAGAACTATTGGATGGGAAGCAGTGTGCCCGGTCCCCCAGGTGTGAGGGATTATTGATACTCCCGGGAGGCAGATTACACCGCAAGATAGGAATGGAGACTGGAGAAGCTTGGATGCTACCAAATGCACTCAGCCACACTCTTCCCATAGGTGTGGGTGTGTTCTGTGGCTGAGGGTTCCCCTACCCCTTCTAGCCACACCCCAGACCTTTGCTCAGGCTAAGTCTGCAAGTCTTTCCCTTCTCCTCCCATTAAAATTCTGATCAGCCTTCCAGACCTGTCTCCTGCTTGCCCCCTTCCCAAAAAGGGCAGGGTTTTCAGTCCTTTACCCTCTGCAGACTCCCACTGATCGTGCCCCTGCTCCAACCACAGGTGTCCCAGGTTGAAACCCGCTGCCAGTGAGAAACCGACCCCCAGGCCACAACAGAGGCAGGCCCCAACCCTCAGACGCCCAGCATGAGGGGTAGCACGGGACCTGGGGGGCCTTGAGACTGGGTACTGAGAGGTTCTTTGGAAACAATGTGGGGGCCTTCTTGGGGAATTGGAGGGCATGGCTCGGCCCAGTGAGTCCCACCCAGGTGTGCATCCTGGAAACCCACTGTCCTTGGCCCAAACCCCTCCTCCTCTGGGGGCTCCCTGTGGGGGTCCTTGCCAGGCGGAAGGCCACTCATCTGCATGCACATGCCTGAGCAGGGAGCCAGCAGACTTCCTTCTGTTCTTATCTCTGTCAAGGTCAGAGTCGGGGACAGGAACAAAGGCAGCGTCCCCCATTCAACCTCCCGCCGCTGGCCGCTCCCCAAGGAAAGGGGCACAGAAGGCTGAGGGGGGAGAGTGGGGACCCCTGCTCACCATAGGGGCACTGTAGAAGCTGGAAACCCCCAGCTGGCCAGGGGCTCAACCCAGAGAGGGTCAGCTGGGACCAGGGGTCATTCTGGGGTCGGGCTTTTTTTGGAGTCAAAGGTTAGGGGTCAGGCTCCAGGCTCACACCCAGGAGGCCAATACCCTTGGGCATAGGGTCCTTGCTAGCCTCGCAGGGAGGCTCCTGTCCTGGCCCCCAGCCAGAATGTGTCACCCAGTGTCTCCTGTCACTGCCTCAGGGACTCAGGGTCAGGGTCCAGCCGCCCTAGAGCCTTCAAAAGCCACAATGCCACACAGGAAGTTAAAAATATGCGGGGAGAAATGTCTCATTACAGAAGACTTTGGTCCGGATCCACCACTGGCCCGTCTGCAAGACCAGACAGTTTCAGGTGCCCGATGTGGATCAAGCGGGGAGAGGCCACTCAGGGAAGGACTCCTACAGCCTGGGCTTTGGTGCCCAAGACCTTCAACTATCTTGGGGTATCCCCAGGCCTCTGGGTGGCTGCTGTTCAATGTAAAAATGTGGTCCTTTCTCCTCCTGGTAAATCAAAATTGCCCCAACCATGTCCCCATACTGCCTGCAATCTCACTAGGCCACGGAGGGATCCTGATGGTGTCTGCTGTCTCCCTCCCATGCTCTGCCCCCTACACACTCCCTTTCTTTCCTCCCTCCTCCCAGCTCCAGTGCCTGGACAGACCTGGGGGTCTCCACTAGCATGGAGGCCAGGCCGGGGCAGCCACAGAACTTGTATGATGAATACACTTGTGATATTCCAGCCACAGAGCCTCCTGGACCCTCAACAAGGGAAGGGCATTAAGGAGTAGAGTTCTGCATTCAGTTCAGGTGAAAGGCAGATGTCGCATGCGGTCAGAGTCTGGTCTCACACAAGGGACCCTGCATGTGCTAGGGACAAGAATGGTTGATGAAGCAGTGTTTGGGGAGGGTGTGAAACATGGGGCCCCTAAAGTAGAGGTGGGGTCAGCTAGCTGTACTACCTGCTGGGTACAGGCTAAGTCAGTGGGGACCCCAGGTCAGAGCCAGCAAAAGAACTTTCCTCAGCAAGAGCCCTTTGCCCGAGGTGCTGGGCACAAGCAGCCTCTTCTAGACCCTGCCCTGGGGAGAGCAGCTCAGGTTGGTGTGGAATGAAGGGGCTGGAACTCAATTCCATACCCACACACCCAGCCTGGACTTCAGCAGAGGGCTTGGCTCATATGCTTGAGTCCCAAGTCCCAGGGGCAGGGACAGGGCGAGACTGGGAGCCCCACCCGATGGGGAGAGGACACAGGAAGTGTCCCAAGGACATGTGTGAGTGTGGCTCTCCAGGGTGCATATCTGTCCCTGTTGTGTGTCTTCATGGTGGTGTTTGGTGACCATGTGTAAGGAGATGACAGAAGCCCTTCGTGCGTGCACAAATGCACGCTCACACACGCTCACACACGCACCCTGGCCTTTCATCTTGAGCTGACAGTCCCTCTCCCGGCTTTTAGCCGCCAAGCACTTCCTGCTCACAGTGCATTAACCTTGGCGGGGCTGCCAATTACCCCTGGCTAACGCTGGGGGCCGCAGGCCGGGTGCTGACAGGCGGTGGGGCGGGCACAGGCTGGGATGGTGGTGTGTTCCCGGAGCCGGATGGTGTGTGCGGAGTCTCTCCTGACCTCATTAGAGTAATTAATGTGCCTTTTGAAGCTGGAGAGAGGCTGGGAGCTATGGGAAGGGGCACAGAGGAGTGGAGGGTGGGGGGCTGGAATGGTGTCTTCATGCCTGTCCCTATGGGTTAGAGACAGAGAGACAAAGTTATAGAGCGATAGAGACAGTGAAGAGAAAGAGAGACAGAGAGACACAGACACAGAGACAAGGATAGAAATAGAGAAAAGAGACAGAGAGAGGGAGAGACAGAGGTGCAGAGTCAACTGAGAACCCCTGGAGAGAGACAGTCCCCCCCCCCCAGAAGAAGGAAGGGAAGAGCTGCCGGAGGTCACGCACTCCCTGGACCCCACCACAGCCAGATCCAGATCGAGCTTGCCCTACCTGCTGCTGTCTTAGGGCACCCTGGGTTCAGGCCTGGACCCCACTCCTGTTCACCAACCTTGCCTGGGGGATGGGTCCTTTGCAAGACTCATCAGGGAGGATTTCCTGGAAGTGGCAGCTGGGGCAGGGAGGGGCCCAGAGACACTGAAGGGCAGGGTGAGGGTGCACTGGTTGGACAGACTGGGGGTGAGGACATGGGGCTCCAGCTGCAGAGATGGGGATGAGGGGGCAGCTGGACTTGAACCTCTGGGTGGAGCTCCTCTGTAAGGTAGCAGGTTGAGTGGGTGGTCAGGGGTCAAAGGGTGGCTGGGAATGGGGACAAGATGTGGTTCAGCAGCAGGATGAGACGTGGGGTGCTGGGATGAACCCCTTCCCCATGTGTACAAGGTCTAGCCCCAGAGATCCCCTCAGGATGCCCCCTAACTCAGGCAAAGTTTTCACCACAAGCCACTGGGCAGGTAGCACAAGGCTGCCATCTGGTGGCAGATTGGCCTCATGACATGGAAGCGGTATCAGCAGCAGCTCTGACCCATTGGGGGTTGGGGAACCCTCAGGACCCTCTCTCCAAGACGGGGGCCCACAAGGGAACAACCCCTTTTACTCAGATGCTAGGATGGCAGAAGGTACCCCAGAGATGACGCGTCCACCATGTGACCCACAGAGGAAGATGGGGAAATAGGTCCAGCCCCATCCACTGTGTTCAGAGCCAGGATGCCCAGGTCTGGTTCCCATCCCTGGCAGAGTGAAGCCAGGCACCAGTTGTGGTCACTTTTATTGTCTCCAGCCCAGTGAGCGGGTGCTCCTGAGAAGCCCCCATATATAGGGGGTGGTTATAGTCACAGTCCAGCCAAGGGGAGTGCATAGTCTGGGTGTGGAGAAGGGGCTGCCAGCCCACTGGCTTCCACCTGGGTCTCAGGTCCTCGAGTGGGACTGGCCAAGGCCGCTTCAGGTACGATGGGCAGGCTCCGACAGGCGTGGCTGGTGCTGCCCCTGGTCCTTCTTGCAGCACCCCAGCTAGGGAGTCTGCAAGGGAGGGTCTATGGGTGAGGTGAGGCGGCTGGGAGGGGCCACGCACCTCTGCTCCTGGTACCCATGAAAATGGCTGAGGCAGGAGGGGGACAAGCTGGGGCCCACCCAGGGATGAGATGTCCACCTCCCCAGGTCAGCCAGGGGCAGTGACCAAGACATCACTGTGGGCTCTCAACCAGAGTCCAAGGAAGGACGATGGTTTCAGAGACAGAGGGTGACAAGCCAGCCAGCCTGCTGGGAATGACTTTGGAGTGCCATTCCCCGACAGCAGAGACCGGGGTGGGGGCTGTCTCTGTGCCCTTCCTGGGCTGGTCTCAGGTCCAGTGAAGTGTTCCCGTCTCCCCGGGGAAGACTGCCTACCATCTCAGATTCCTGGTCTCATAGACAGTCTCCTCCTCACTCTCCAGTGCGGCCATCTCTGTGGAATCCTCGGTGTTGGCCAGGAGGCTGTACCTCCGCCTCTGAGGTTTCTTCACCCTGGAAGAGGTCCAGGCAGCCTCTGACACCCTCCGCTTCCCTTCTCCCCAGGGCCCCCACAGGCCCTGCCTGCCTCCCAATCACTGTCATGGCAGCTGCGTATTCTTGTCGCCATTGGGGAGACCTGGTGGAGGTGCGATTAAGCGTGTGGCTGCGAACCTCGAGGTGGGTGGTTCTAGGCCGCCAGTGGCTCCTCAGGACAAAGAACCACCTGTTCACCCTACAGAGCCGACCTACTCCGTCCTAGCTGAGTGGAAGCTGACTGGCCAGCATGCAGATGACCATCTCTGCGGTCAATGGGCCACCCTCCATCACTGGGTCCCCTGCCAGTGATAAGACGATGGAGTTCCAACAGATACATCCGTCAGAATGGAGGCCAGAGAAGGGAGGCCCAAGCACGCATGATGTCCAGGACAGGGCTCTGAGAGTTTGGGTCCACACGTGTCAGTGGAGGGGAGAGGACCTTGTACTCACAGGGTGACCAGGAGGGCATGCTGGGGTGACAAAGGGCCTTTGGGGGTCAGCGTGGGAGAGGAAGCCAGCAGGAAGCGAGGGCCCTAAACCTGGCACTAGCTGTACTGGGAGCAGAGAGGGAAACAGGGAGACGCCTCAACTCTATAGGAAAGAGCCCTAGTGGCAGTGTGAGCTAAGCACTGGCTTGCTAAGTGGTAGAACACTGAGGCTGGCTGCTCCCATAGGCTCTGGAACCCTGTTTAGGGTTCAGCTCTGAGCTGAAATCCACCACTCGTCTGGCAGTCTACGGCACTGTGGTGGCTGGTGTGGCTGTGATGTTGGAAGCGAGGCCACGGGTATTTTAAATACCAGCAGGTAACCCATGGCGGACAGGTTCCAGATGAAGGCAGACTGGGCAGGAGAGACTTCTAAATGGTTGGTGATGATTACTACTGAGTGCCGCTGGGTTGGTTCTGATTTCTAGTGATGCTGTAGAGGTTTCAGAGGCTAGAAATCTTCGCAAGAACAGAAAGTCTCAGTTTCCTACGGAACGAGGACTGCTGGACTCAAACCGCCAACCTTGTGGTTCACTATCCAGCACTGCTGTGCTCTGTATGAACGGTGAGTCATGGACGACCTCAGGAAGAGCAGCAGAACACCGTCAGATAGGATACCTGAACCTGAACCTGAACCCTGCAGGTGAGAAGACACTGGGGATGAGCCGCCTCCTCAAAGCAGAGCTGACCTTAATGATGTGAATGGAGCCAAAGTTCTCAAGACCTTCGTTTGCTGAGGGGGTACAACTCAAAATGAGAAGAAACAGCTGCAAACATCCATTAATCATGGAAATGTGGAATGTACAAAGTAAGAATATAGGACACTAGGAAGTCGTGAAAAAAATGAACCGGAAAACATAAAGATGGCTATCCCGGGCCTTAGGGAGCTGAAATGGACTGGTGGTGGCCACTCTGAATCAGGCAGTCACACGGTTTACTACGCTGGGAACGACAAACTGAAGAGGAACCACTTGCCTTCATTGTCAAAAACAGCATTTCAAGATCTTGAAGTACAACGCTGTCTGTGAAAAGACATTATCCCTATGCCTACAAGAAAGACCTGTTAATACTATTATACAAATTTATATACTTACCACGAAAACCAGCAAGGATGAAACTGAGGCATTACATCAACTTCTTCAGTCTGATATTGATCAAACATGCAATCAAGATGTATTGCTAATTACGGGCAATTGGAATGCAAAGGTTGAAAACAAAGAGGAAGGATCCGTAGTGGGAAAATATGGCCTTGGTGATAGAAACGATGCTGGCTATCGCATGATAGAATTTTGTAAGATCAATGATTTGTTCATAGCAAATGCTTTTCTTAAAAAACATAAAAGGTGAAGACTACACACCTGTACTTCATCAGACGAAATACACAAGAATCTAAATGACTACATCTGTGGGAAGAGATGATGTCAAAGCTCCATGGTGGTTGATGGTTAAGTGCCGTGGAGTCGGTTCCGACCCATAGCAACCCTGTACAGAGTTTCCGAGGCTGTAAATCTTTACGGGAGCAGAAAGCCTCATCTTTCTCCTGCGGAACAGCTGGTAGTTTCAAACTGCTGACCTTGAGGTTCACGGCCTGATTCGTAACCACTACGTTGCCAGAGCTCCTTAAAAGCTCCTTATTAGCAGCCAAAACAAGACCAGGGGCTGACCGTGGAACAGACCAGCCATTGCTCATATCCAAGTTCAGGCTGAAGCTGAAGAAAAGGGAACTAAGTCTACAAGAGTCATAATATGATCTTCAATATCTCCCAGCTGAATTTAGAAACCATCTCAAGTTCAGATTTGATGCATTAAATACTACTGACAGAAGATCAGAAGAGTCGTGTGATGACATCAAGAACATCATACAGGAAAAAAGCAAAGGGTCATTAAAAAGACAGGAAAGAAAGAAAAGACCAAAATGGCTGTGAGAAGAGACTCTGAAACTTGCTGACGACAGAAGCTAAAAAGATGGGAAGAGATGAGGAAATGAGAGAGCTGAACTGATACTTTCAAAAAGACAGTTCGAGAAGGCAAAGTCAAGGATAATCAAAAGTGCTAATACCTGGAATTAACAAACCAAAAGGGAAGAACACACGCAGTATTTCTCAAGCTGAGAGAACTGAAGAAAAAATTCAAGCTTCCAACTCCAATATTGAAGGATTCTATGAGTAGAATATTGAATGATTCTATAGGTAAAATCTTCATATAATCATATATGAAGAATGTGGAATCGGGATTGGAGGAAGGCTCATTAAAAACCTATGATATGCAGATGATACAACCTTGCTTGCTGAAAACAAAGAGGACTTAAAACGCTTACTGATGAAGATCAAAGACCATAGCCTTCAATATGGGTTGTTATCTCAATGTAAAGAAAACAAAAATCCTCACCAATGGAGCAACAAATAACGTCATAATAAATGGAGAAAAGATCAAAGTTGCCAAAGACTTCATTTTTCTTGGATCAACCATCAACACTCAAGAAGCAGGAGTCAAGAAACCAAACGACGTGTTGCATTAGGCAGATACGTCACACAAAACCCTTTTAAAGTGTTGAAGTACAAAGATGTCAATCTGAGAACTGACCTAAGCCATGGTCATTTCAATAATCTCATACACATGCAAAAGTTGGAAAATGATAAAGGAGGCCCAAGACTGTAGAAGACTTAATGTATTTGGTCCACAGTGTTGGAGGAGAATATTCAAAGTACCTTGGATTGTCTGCCAGAAGAACAAACAGATGTGTGTTGGAAAAAGTACAGCCAGAGTGCTCCTTGTAGTCAGGTGCCATCGAGTCAGTACTGCCTCATAGTGACCCTCTGCACAACAGAACGAAACATTGCCCAGTCCTGGGCCAACCTCACAATCATTGCTATACCTGAGCCCCTCACTGCTGCCACTGTGTCAGTCCATCTCATAGGGGGCTTCCTCTTTTTCTCCGAACCTCCAGTTTACCAAACATGATCTCCTTCTTCAGTGACTGGTCCCTCCTGAAAATATGACCAAAGTATGAGAGACAAAGTCTGGCCATTCTGGCTTCCAGGAAGTACTCTGGCTGCACTTCAACACACATCTGTTTGCTCTTTGGGCAGTCCATGAAACTTTTCATATTTTCCTCCAACACCGCAGCTCAAACGCATCAGATCTTTGGTCTTCCTTACTCAGTGTCCAACGTTCACATGCATATGAGGTTACCGAAGATACCACGGCTTGGGTCAGGCGCACTCACTTCTCAGATTGACATCTGTGTTCTTCCACACTTTAAAGAGGTCTTGTGCAGATTTGCCTAACATGCAACACATCATATGACTTCCTGGCTGCTGCTTCAGTGAGTGTTGATGGTTGATCCAAGCAAAATTTAAGTCTTTGACAACTTTGATCTTTTCTCCATTTATACGCATGTTATTTATTGCTCCATTGGTGAGGATTTTTGTACTCTTTACATTGAGATGCAATCCATACCAAAGGCTGTGATCTTCATCAGTAAGTATTTTAAGTCCTCTTTACTTTCAGTAAGCGAGGTTGCATCATCTGCATATCGCAGGTTGTTAATGAGTCTTCCTCCAGTCCTGGTGCCATGTTTTTCTTAGTATAACCCAGATTCTCAGAGTATTTGCTCAGCACACAGACAGCGTAAGTATGGTGAAAGGATACAACCCTGGTGCCCACCCTTCCTAATTTTAAACCATTCAGTGTTGCCTTGTTCTGTTCAAACAGCCCCTTGGTCTACACACAGGTTCCTCATGAGCACAATTAAGTGTGCCGGAATACTTAGTCTCCACAATGCTGTCCATAGCTTGTCATGAGCCACACAATCGAAAGCCTTTTCATAGTCAATAAAGCATAGGTAAGCATCTTTCTCTGGTAGCGTAGTGGTTACGAATTGGGCTGCGAACCACAAGGTCAGCAGTTCGAAACGACCAGCTGTTTCTGCGGGGGAAAAATGAGGCTTTCTGCTCTGGTAAAGATTTACAGGGTCGCTATGGGTCGGAACCGGCTCCATGGCACATAACAAAACATATTTCTGATATTCTTTGCTTTCAGCCAAGATCCATCTGACGTCAGCAGTGATATCCCTAGTTCCGAAACATCTAAGAATAATCTTTAGAAGCCAGGATGGTGAGACTTCGTCTCTCACACTTCGGACATACTATCAGGAGGGCCCAGTCCCTGGAGATACATATCATGTTGGGTAAAGTGGAGGGTGAGCAAAAAAGAGAGAGCCCTCCAACTAGATGGCTTGGCACAGTGGCAGCCGAGACTGTGAGGCTGGTGCAGACTGGGCAGTGGTACGTTCTGTTGTGCATGAGCTCACTGAGTCAGAACCCACTCCACAGCACCTAACAACAACAATATAACAGCAGGTTAAACAGGAATGTAGTGGCTCCCTAGGATAAACACTGGATTGCAAATCACAAGGTCGGTGGTTCAGGTCCACCAGCCACTCTTCAGGAGAAAGATGAGGCTGTCTGCTCCTGAGAAGAGTTAAATCCTCAGAAATCCTATAAAGGGTCACTATGAGTCAGCAGGGACTCAACGGCAGTTGACAACAACAGAGGAAAACATTTTGAGTGACGCAGAAAGCATCAAAAGAAGATAGAAGGACTACCCAGAGTCACTATACCAAAAAGAACTGGTCGATGCTCTATCATCGCAAGAGGTAGCATATGACCAAGAGCCATTGATACTGCAGGAAGAAGTAGTTCAGGCTGAGCACTCAAGGCACTGGCGAAAACTAAGGCTCCGGGAATTGATGGAGTACAAATTACAATGTTTCAACAAACTGATGCACCATTGGAGGCATTCAATTTGTAAGACAACTCTCTGGCCAACAGGTGGAAAAGAGATCTGTATGTGTGGTCATTACAAAGACAGGTGATTGGACAGAATGCAGAACTATCAAACACCATCAGTATTAGCATATGTATGGAAAATTATGCTGAAGCTCAGTTCAAACCTATAGCAGCAGTGTACTGACAGGTTGCTACAGAAATTCAAGCTAGATCGAGAAGAGGACATAAAATGAGGGGCATCATGGCTGATGTCAGATGGATCTTGGCTAAAAGCAGAGAATACAAAATGTTTACTTGAGCTTTACTGACTCTGCAAAGGCACTGGACTCTGGGGATCATAACAAACTGTGGATAATATTGCAAAGAATGGGCATTCCAGAACACTTAACTGTACTCATGAGGAACCTTTCCATACACCAAGAGGCAGTGATTCAGACAGAATAAGGGGATACTGAATGGTTGCAAATCAGGAAAGGTGTGCACCAAGCTTGTACTCTTTCGCCATACTTCTAGATGCTGAGCAAATAACCTAAGAAGCTGAACTCTAGGAAGAAGCAGCTGGCCTGAGGCCGCAAAATGCGGATGACACAGCCCTGCTTGCTGGAAACAAAGCCGACTTAAAATACTTACCGAAGATGAAAGACCATGGCCTTCAGTATGGGTTGCACCTTAATGTCAGGAAAACAAAAATCCTCACAAATGGACCAATAAATAACATCATGATAAATAGAGAAAAGATAGAATTTGTCAAAGACTTCATTTTGCTTGGATCCACAATCAACACTCATGGAAACAGTAGTCTTGAAAGCAAGCATTAGGCAAATCTGCTGGAAAAAACCTCTTTATAAAGTGTAAAAGAGCAAAGATATCACTCTGAGGATTAAGATGTACTCTGACCCAAGCCATGGTATTTTCAATCACCTCTTCTGCAAGTGAAAACTGGACTATGAAAAAGATGAGGGTTCATGCATTTGAATTACGGTGTTGACAAACAATACTAAAAGTACCATGGTCTGTCCGAAGACCAAACCAATCTGCCTTGGAAGTACAATCAGAATGTGAGGATGGGGAGACTGTGTCTCTCATTTTGTGGACATGTTGCCAGTAGGGACCAGTCCCTGGAGAACATCCTTGGTAAAGAGGAAAACTCTCAGCAGGATGGACAAGGGGCTCAAACATAAGAATTGTGACGATGGCGCAGGGCCGGGCAGTTTGATTCTCATGGACACGGCTCACTATACGTTGGAACCCACTCGATGGCAGTGGTATACTGATGGCCATCAGCAGGACTTAAACGTGATCAGGACCAGCTCCGCGGACCGGAGGAGGCTTCACTAGCTCTTACATCTCCGGCAAGTAACTGACCCCTGGAGACACCCTCCATTCACCCATAAAACAGGGATGGGGGCAGATTGTCCTAGGCCAGAGGAAATGGCAGAGAAGCAGAAAGAGTGCCTCTGAGAAATCTTGGCAGAGAGCGGGGGAAGCTGTGGGCAAGGAAGACGACAACAATGGGCAGGCCGCTGAGAAAGGGAGGAGGGGGCGTGGCCAGACGAGGGCCCCTCAGGACGGAGCAGGGAATTCAACTGCTGGGCCTTCTCTGGCTTCAGGTATTCACCTGGGAAACGGGCAGCATACACCAAAGCGGCTACTCAGCGAAGCCAGTCAGCAGCTAACTCACAAGACCTCCCGCTCCGCCGAACCACGCCCACCTTGGAGGCGGGACAAAGCCACTGTCCTTCACGTGATACACAAGGAGCACGTCAATTGGCTGACAGCGGCGTTTCCTCACCACCACCCCATACGCACCTGAGGGCCCGGATGAGGAAGTAGAGCGCCGTCAAGCCACAGAGGCCTGTGAGCACGTAGAAGGAGCGCAGCAAGGCCGAGCCCGGCGGGTGCGTGCTGTTGTGCCTCGCGCCTGGCCGGCTTCCGTTCGTCACGGCAGGCGGCGGGAGTGTGGTCTGCGCGACGCTTAGCGGCGTGGGCGCGGCCTCTCGAGCTCCGCATGGCAGCAACAGCGCCGGTAGCAGCATCAGCGGGAGCATCCGCGTTAGCTCGCGCGGCCCCATGGCCCCGCGGAAGCGGTGGTGCCCCGCCCTCGCGAGTTGTCATTCATACCCCCGAGGGCGGGGCCCGAAGGCCGGAAGCTGCCCGCCCTCCCTCGGCGGGTCAGCTAGTTTTCCGGCAGTGCCAGGGAGGTTTGCCGTGGGTTAGAGATCTTTTCTGGCCAGGGCCAGGACCAGGACCAGAAAAGCCCGACTCAAAGGTGTTCTTGAAAAGGCAACGTCTGCCCATGAGGGAGGCGGGGAGCTGGGGGGTACGAATGGAATCGTCTCCAGCCCCCCACGGAAGGTCGAATTTCACAAGAGGAATGGACAACCCAATTCCCAGAAACCCAAAGCTGCGCCCTCAACCGGAGACAGCGGGACAGTGCAGGCTGGACAGCGTGACACCAACGTGGCACTGAGGGTCCGGCTCTATGGCTCTATAGCAGGTCGGAGGACCCAGGCTGGATCCCAGTAAACACCTGTGGGGCCATTTGGGACCACCACCCCTCTTCTACCCTGCTGGCCAGTGCGTTCTGTCCTCAGCATCCTGACACGCACTGTACCAGCCAGCCAGCCCCCCATTGCCAGTCTGGTGCTGCCAAGGCCCATGATTGGGAACACCCCACTGCCCTGGCCTGTGGCCTCCACATTGCAGTCCCACGTGTTGAAATAGCCCAGCTCCTGCCCACACTCAAAGAGACACAGACACAGATGCACACAAGACCCTTTATTCCAGCCTGGCCCTCCCCACCTCAAGCCACCAACACAGAGGAAGGCCTGTCCTGAAACCTTGTTGATGGCACCCGTCCTCTGCTGACACACCTGTAGAAAATTGAGGGGGTTAGGATTGCCTGCCCAAACCCTGCCATACCCAGCAAGGTGTCACCCACAGGCCCAGGCCCTGCACTCACGGGGACAGGTGGCCACAGGCAGCTGGCTCTGGCTCTGGCTCGTGCTCCCCTGAAAAAATCATTCCAGGCCCATCCTTCCTGGGACCCGAGGCCTTGGGCCCTCTCATCCTCTTCTGGGTTCCGACTTGTTTCCCCTTCAACCTGCCAAAGTAAATGAGTGTTATTCCCACATCCTGGCTGGAACTTGAAGCTGCCCTCCCTGCCTCCCAGAACCGTCCACAGTTCCTATGCGGGTCTGATAGCTATCCACCGGGCCCACCACGTCACAGGTGTACCGCCACGGGTGGACCCGGAGGACCTGCACTGGATATGGCCAACGCCATGTCCACCCTTTAGCAGAGCCAAGTGCCCACGTGGGAAGGAGCAGCTTAAGAGATTGCTGTGGGCTCTGGGGAAAAATCTAAAGGTGGCAACAAGACAGCCGAGAAAGGCTATGGTTAGGAGAGTGGCTCAAGAGGGCTGGAGAAGACGGTCAGTGATGCACAAAAACCCCAAAGGCAGGGCGTTCGGTGGTCTCCAATCCTGCTTAGGAGTCACACCTACTGGCCAGGCATGACGACCCGAGCCACAGGCATGACCACTTGGCCACAGGCAAACAGCTGGGGCCCGCCAGTTTTAGTTCCAGCTCCATTTAAAAATCAAAAAAAAAAAAAAAAAGGAAACCAAAAGCCAGTCAAAGAAATATTCCCCGGGCACATAAAGTTACTTTGAAATGAGCTCGACAAGAGGGATGCGGACACGAGCAAAAGGAGTTACCTCGAATTACAGGGCTATTTCCACATATGAGCTAGCCAAGGAAGCAGCTTTCGTCTCAGAGGTTTCTGTAGGGCGCACAATACTTCTGTTCTCCAAGGGGGCTGCAGCTTCCATAGGCTAGCAGAGAACGCTCAGAACTTGTAAAGCAACGGCAGACTAGCTACTCACAGCTCGTCCGTCTGGGGCCGCCCACTCTGCGGGCCCGGCCCAACTGTGGCTGTCAGGTCAGTGTTGGGTGCCTACAGCGTTGGGTGTCTGTCCCACTACACTGCCCAGCCCACCGAGAGCCCCTGGTGCCGCCCTGCTGTCTGTACTGCCCACACCCGTCGCCCACCTCCTCACCCAGCCGAGACCGGTGGCCGTCAGCTTTCGGTCTACTTATCCTCTCTCGGCTAGCTCTCTGCAGCCTGTCCTCACACTGCCCGACTGCCTAGGCCGGCTGCTGCGGGCCAAGGCAGGGTGTGTTGTGCAATGAAAGGGAGATTGTCAGAGCAAGTTCGTTTCAGACGGTCTTTTAATCGGCTTCGTGAAGCCAAAGAGAACTGCGTACAAGAATTCCTTAACCACTTCAAATACAACATCAATGGAATATGCATACGTCTTCCAGTAAAAAAGGACAATATAAATAAACATTTTCAAGAACCTCTCGGGGACGTCTGAGAGTCTACTGTAGGCGTTTTACAGCAAGTGAGACACCTTTGTGCAGGTGGGACAAGCGGGCAGCACGTGGGGCCGATGGGGGGCCACTATACCCCTGGGGCCGCGTCCTACCCTGCTACACTCAGAACGTTACAGAGTTGGAAAAAAAGCCACAGCTTGCTCAGCTTCCGATAAAGAGCGGATCAGAGTCCTTTCCATCTCAAAGAGAAGTGCATTGAGGCACCCAACTTCATGGGGCCACACGCCAAAAAGACAAAAGAAAAATGGCCACACAAGCCCCACCCCCCCAAGGTACACCCACAACCCCCAACCATTCTCAAAAAAAAAAAACAAAAAAACCAGTAAGTGTCATGGCTCATGATAAAAAGAAAAAGTAAAATCTGAAGTGCTTTCCAGAACGTTTTCAAAACCCTTAAAAACGGACAGCGCTTCCTCAAAAAGAAAACTCTAGAACTGGGCCCTCTCGGGGTCAGAAGCTGTCAGGCTGTGTTTGACAAGATCAGAACTGAAAAGACTACAAAAGTGGAAATACAAGGTGTGTTCACTACACATGAACGATTTCAGCGAAGCTCCCAAAATCTTTAAATATACGGCCATTGGAAGGACGATCTTGAGCAGGAAGGATTTTTACTCGTTGTGTGTAGCTGAGGACAAGAAGCAGGCACAGTGTAAAGGCACCGAAGAAGCAGCAACAGTCGCGCATTCCTCACCCCGAGGCCGGCCCCCGAGGGCACAGCCTGTGGCCTGAGAGCACCAACCCCCCTGGAGTGGAGGGCGCGGGCCAAGCCCATACATGCACGCGGCCTCACACTCCTTGTTCTTTCGGGTCGGTTTGCTTTTGCTTGTCTGCTCTGTGATGGGACAGACTGTTGGTTAAGGGCAAGCATAGTGCAGAAGTCTGAGTCTCAAGCCCGAGGCACACCGGGCTCCCACCGAGGGCCACGGTAGCGTGGCGCACGTGGAGTGTGACTTACCATAGCTGTCATAGCTGTCTCTGTAGGACCCGCCTGAGCTCCGGTCACCGTAGCCGCCACCCTGACTCCGGCTGCAGAAGGACAGGCATGGTTTGACCAGGCTGCACCCACAGGTGCTTACCTGCAGGTGTCAGTGCCCTCATCTCACCCCAGCACCCCAGACCCACCTGCTGTAGTAATCTCTAGAGCCTCCGTAGCCTCCACTCCGGGACTCAAACCGGCTCCCACCGTAGCCTCGGTCCCCTCCACCTACAAAGGACGACAAGAAGCCTGTGAGGCCCCGTTCTCGCTAGGCCCCGTCTGCCTTGTCTGTGAGCGTCCAGGCTGAGTGCCACTCACCTCTGGAGAAGCCACGGCCCCGGCCTCGGCCCCCGCGGAAGAAGCCCCGGCCTCCAGCAGAGCCACCCCGATACCCTCGGGAGCGGTTGTCGGAGGATTTCCCAGCCTGGTCCACTCGAATCTGCCGTCCATCTACAGACTGAAAGACAGAGATGACCAAGCTCAGTCTCCACGCTAAGTCACCCACTTCGTACCTGGGGGAGGGGAATGTCATGGGTTCTGTAGGTCCTTCACCTTTCCATTCATGGCCATCATGGCATCCTTGGCATCGTCAATGTTTTCGAAGGTGACAAACCCAAAGCCGCGTGACCTCTGGGTCTCCCTGTCTTTCACGACCACCACTGGTCAGGAGAAGAAGCGAGGTCAGTATCCAACAGTGCCACAGCCCCGCCCCGCCCCATTCCATTCCAGCCTCACCTTCAGAGATCTGCCCGTATTTGGAGAAGACCTGTTCCAGAGACTGCTCGTTGGTATCAAAACTCAGCCCGCCAACGAAAAGCTTGCCTTCGTCTGATGCCATGGTGCCTACCACAAATGCTCTTTCAGTCATCCAGAGCCACACTGTCCATCTGACCCCACTCTAGGGCTAGGATGCTGCCACAACACCCCGTGCCTGCCCCATTCAAATACCATTACCACTGGGTGAAACCACATGGGCAGGAGGGGCCTCCAGGGACACCTCTGGCTAAGGGAGGCCACTTGTCACCACTAGGCTGCCCAAGCAGCTGGACCCCAGCCCCTCCCCATGTTCCAGGGGGCGGGGCGGCCAAGTCCGACTTCAGCTAGAGGAGAGGTTGTCTGGATGGAAAGGTGCTTTGTTAACTGTAGAGGGCTGGCAGAGTCAGTTAGGAAGCCCAGGTGGGGAAATCCACAGTGGGCCAGGGCACGGCCTAACGAGGGTCTCACGGATCTGAGAAACGCTTGGGGAAGCTGACGTTTGGGTGAATCGGCTATGTAAAGGGTGCAAGGTGTGTTGACTTAAGACAAATCTCAGCAGCTTTGAGGAAACAGCCAGAGTGACTCTGAACACAAAACCAACAAATAGGACTTGGAAACACTGGGTTTTACAAACTGGGGGTGTGACATGTTAATGGGGAAGAAGACACTGCTAATGCATTCCTTTCCTTAGTGTCCCCGATAGAGAAAACGGACACCGCGGGATTCATCCCTCGGGCGCCCCCAGCTCTCCAGGCCCCAGGCCGCCGGGAAGCTGCGCGGGTCACGTGGGCCCGCTCCCGCCCGTGCGCATGCGCCCTGTACGCGCCCTGCGCCACTACATCCGGGCACTCGATGCTCCCGCCATTTCGCTGGGCGCAGCTTCGGGCCCGCGGCCGCCATTTTGCGGCAGCGCCCCGCTCTCTGGCTGCCCCTCGCCCGCAGGGGGTCGTCCCCCAAGTCGCTGCCACTTGGGCCAGTCTCCCGCTGCCCCTAACCGCCGGCGGGGCGGACTCCACCCCGGGCCCGCCCCGGTCGCCGACCCGCCCAGGGGCGTGCCTCCGCAGCCCCGCCTCGCCTGCAGGTCGCAAGCCGCCCGCCGCCTCAGGCTCCTCAGAGCCGGCGCCGCCAGGGCCCTCACCACTAAGCCGGGCAGGTCCCTGACGCAGGCGGGAAGACGGCGCAGCACAACGACCCGAGCCTCCTAACGCGCGAGTGAGGGGGGGGCGCCCCGCAGCCTGTTCTTATATACGCCGCCGCCGAGCCCCGCCCCGGGCCCGCCCTAGGGACCAATCCGAGGCTGCATGGACCAATCCGAGGCAGCGATCATGCCTCATATTCATGAGATGAGGGGCTGGGTCTATCTAGATCCCGCCTCTCGACGCGCGCTGGCGCCGGTCGCAGAGATTGGCGGGGGCGTTTCCGGCCCGCAGTCCGCAGTCTCTGCCCGCGCACGCGGGTGGGCGGGGCCGGGGCGGGGCTGACCCACTTCCGCGCGCCCGTCCCCGTCTCCCCCACCCCCACCCCCGCCTGCGGGAACAAAGAGGCCTCAGGCCACTGCTTCCAAGGGCCTGAGCCTTGTGGACTCTCTTCTAATGTCCCCGGATCCCAGACCTGTGCTCTTGCTCTCATCGCTGAGGGAGTACTCCTAGGACTCCAGTGCTGCATACATCACTTCATTCGATGACCCCAAACCCCATTGCCCTCCTCAATGTTTACCACCACGATTCTTGGCACCCTACCTTAATCCAACCCAGTTTATCTAAAACCCAAACCTCCCCATAAGGCAATTCTACACACCTGAAATTCATCATGCTTGCAGCCCACTAGAGGGGAAGGGTCCTCTCCAATGCTTCCCTTTCAAAGACATGGTAAGCCTGAACATGGAGGGTCCCCAAGACCTCAATTATCATAGGACTCTTACCCCCAAGCCCTCTGGGATTCCCTTTGTGGCCACCATCTGTCCTGGCTGCGGGTCTCCCTTCTAGGGTGGTGGTGGTGGTTAAGTGCAATCAAGTCAAATCGGTTTCTGAGAAGGGGCTGATGAGCTTGCAGTCCAGCGCATTAACCCGCAGCGCCACACCAGGAGCCCCCCCACTTCCTGGAGTGGGAGAAGTCAATTCGGAAACACTGTACAGGGTTGCTATGGGTCGGCACCGACTCGACTGCACTTAACAACGCCAACACCACCACCACCGGAGAAGGATACCATGTTGGATAAGGTGGAGGGTCAGAGAAAAAGAGGAAGACCCCCAACGAGATGGATTGGCCAAGTGGCCGCATCGATGGACTCAAGTGTGGCAACAGTAGTGAGGTTGGCCCAGGATCGGGCAGTGTTTCGTTCTGCTGTGCATAATAACACCTAACAATAACAACCTGTCTAGAGCAGAGACCCAAGCTATAGCTCTGTCCTAGGAGAACAGGCCCTTTGCAGTCGACGGGGGTTGGGGGGGTAAATCATGGAGCAGAAACACCCCCCCTTTGCTATTGACCTGGCTCCATTCTTATCCTTACAGCACGGGACAAGGGCAGGCACACGTCTCCAGAGACAAGATTGCCCGGACTCCTCATTGGTTCAGGGCCCTCTCCTCCAAGAGACAGCTGTGTGACTCATTGCTCTCCCCCCTGCACCATGCAACCCCATGCCACAGCCTCAACCCCCTTCCCCCTCCATGCACCTCCCAGTCAGCAGCAGTGGCTTGCGTCAGCCTCTCACGCAGGGTAGTTATTAAAAGGAACAGGGAGAAACATCAGCACTCAACTCCCCCTCCCGCGGCCTGGCTATATGGGGTGGGGGTTGGGAACCCACGCAACTGGAGCCCCAGGAAAGCAACTTGAGGCGGGCAGGAGCAACGTAGGTCCACCCTTACTGATCTTCAACCCTAGTAAACATGGGTCTCTCTGTCACCTTCCCCAGACCAGAACACCACCTCCCCCATCGCCCATTGTATTGGGTCTGCATCTCTGCCACTTCCTGGTTTTGTGACATGCTGAACTCATTCATTCATTCGTTCGTTCATTCATCTGCCAGTACATAGTTAGTTATACAATGATCACTACCAGACGGTCTTCTGGACCCACGACTGTGTGTATTTTGTGGGCACGCGATTCTTGTGTTTCCACTTTGATGTGCAACCGTAACTAATTGCAGGTACCTCTGTCTCAGGTGTGTGTGTACCTGGCAGGGTACCTGGTCTCCCTGGTTACCTGTGTCTGTGTACACCTGTGATTCGGTGTCTACCCATTACCTTCCTGTGTGTACCTTTCGGGGACTCTAAGGAAGTTAGACCACCCTCATCCCTCCGTAGCTACTGCACCGCATAGGTAGTGCTCTGTACCGCGAACACGAGGGGGCGCTGCGGCCTCAGCCTGTCACCCTGGCTGGGGCCTCGGAGTTAGGAGGGAGAACGTAGGAAAAGGGTCCCTCTAGCGATGGACACCATCGGCACGGGCGGCCACTGCTCTAATCTCCGTTCCCGTGCAACCCCAAGAGGCGTGGGAACCACGGCACCTGGATACAGGGAGTGGCCTCGCCCGTGGTGACCTCTACGGAAGCCTTTGCTTGAGAGTGGAGGCCGAGAGCTCTGAAAACTAGTCTTGCTGACCGCCCGGAATGCTACTCTTGCGTGAGGCCTGCTAGTCACAGTCCTGCGGGCTCCAAGGCCCATTCACAAGCCCGCCCCCTCTCCAGTTTCTCGCCCCCGAAGCCCGCAGGCGCCCGCTCTATTCCTCCACTCTCCCCTCCCCGCCCTGGCGTTGCCATGGAAACGGGGCGGGCCACACCTCCTGCACTGTCCTTCCCGCGAGCCGGGCTCGCAGGACGCCGGGCCTCCCTCGACCCCACTAATGACCGGGCGGGAGGCGTAATGAGCGTCTGGCCCTAGTCGGGCGCGCCGGGATGAAAGGCGCGTGGGGGGACCCCGGGGCCGCGTAATTAGCGCCCCTCCCGGCCGGGTGGGGCGAGGTAAACTTGGCGGCCGCCCGGCGGGGGCTCGAAGCAGAACCCAGAGCCGGTGTTGGGGGCTGCCGGGACGTGTCCGGTGTGGGGGGCGGGGAGGCGCTGCGCTCACTGCCAGGGGTACGTCGGAGCATACGTGTGCCCGTCCGTGGGTAGGGGTCTCATGGACACAGTGGGTCATGTGTCCGAGAGCCAGCACAGGGGTGTGGAAGCAAGTCTCAGAACCACACGGGCCTATCGTCTGTGTGCATGTGTAGAGAACACGTCCTTGTCCACATGGGAAGCGTGTACCTCTATGTTTGCTTGGTGCGAACACGGTGGAGCAGCCAGGACAGGGTTGCCTGTTCGTGACTCTGGTAAGGAGGGACCACATGAACCCTGCCTAGGATGTGACTCATGCCCCACGCTGGGCACGAGTGCTGTGTGTCAGCATCAGCTAGAACCTAAGAGAGTGGTGAAGACCAGCAAGCCGCCCGGCAATTGTTAGGTGCTGTCAACTCAGTTCCGACTCATAGCGACCCTGTCTGTATAAGGGTTCCGAGGAGCAACTGGCTGACCTGAACCGACCTTGCAGTCAGCGCATTAATCCGCTGCACCACACCAGGGCTCAGGAAGGGCTGAACGTGCCCCCCACCGGCATCTGATTCTCTACCAGGCCCCGTGTGAAGGCACAGGAGAGACCAGACATGGTTTGGTTTTCTGGGCGCTCTGTGGTGAAGAATAGGCAGGATGGGAGGGGGACCCAGGGCTAGGCCTGGGCTTTGGTGACTCAGGCCTGACTCAGGGCTCAGGAATGTAGAGGCTGTAGAAGGGGCCTTACCAGCTGAGGGGGGCCAAGTCTGGGTTCCAAAGGGATGCTGCTGGCATACAAGTCCTGTGGACACACCCACCTGTCCTGCAACACTGTGAACACACAATCACAAGGTTCTGACAACCTCTACCAAGTGTGTGCACAACCCACCCTGGAAGTGCTGGCCCTGAGAGGGATGCTCAGAATAGGAGCCTCCCCAGCCCCCAGGTATGTGCCTCCTGGGGTCACACGTGCTTACTCTTGCAGTCCTCATGAAGCCTCTAGGGACACAGATGGAGGCCCCTTCAACTGAGGAAAACAGGCCAGAGGTGTGGCAAAGGCCTGATGGGTGAGCACCAGAAACAGAGCAACTCACATTCCTGTATATGATGGCTGCATATTACATGTGTGCAGAATACCAGTGTCCATGTGCACCAAAGACACCAGCAGACACAACCCATCAAGTTGCTGAGACTGGGAAAGGGGGAGGGTCCAGAGCCCCGGGCCCATGCAGCCTCAGATGGGCACAGGGCACCCCTGTGATACCAAGGTCCTGTTCACTTGTCTGACATGGGGCCATATGCTTGTGCACAGAGTCACACACCTGGGGCTTCTGACAATCACCATGACAATGCCAAGGTGGAAAAGGAAGCAATTCCTGTAGCAAGCATGTGTCGCGACACCTATTTGTTGTACAGCAGGTATGCACACCAGCACAGGTGCACGCCCCCACATGCCAGCAGGGCACCCAATATTCCAACAGACATGTGTGTGCCCTTGGAGTGCTTGCCAAATGACCACACTATCCAGTCACAAACCAGGGTCCCTTGAGGTTCCCAATGTTGCAGTCACAGGTTCAAACATAGCCAAAAACCAGGACAAGGCAATGTTTCATTCTGGGTGTGGCACCAGACAACAATACCGACTCGACGGTCAGCCTTGAGCAGGAGGAGGCCAACTGGGCAGGTGGACAGCACCCAGGCCTCTCTGGACCTCAGTTGCCTTATCTGAGAAATGGATGCCATAGGGTCAGTTTTAGCAGCAACCAGACAGAACTCACACAAGGAGAGGCTAATTAATCTGAGTGTTTCTTCACGTTGCCAGTGACACAAGCTTTGTGTTAGATTTCCAGATTTAAGTGTTTAAATCTCACTTGTTGCAGATCTCCAGTAGTTATGACTTCTTTTGATGATGTAGTTACAGAGCCCATACACACAGCCCTGTACCCTCCCATGGCCTGGCTAGAAGTGGTACAGGGCTCCGTGTGCTTCCATGGAGGGTCTGCAGGCAGTGTTTGTGGCTAGGGTGTGGTGGTCAGGGGGTTCCCACCTCAAGGGTTGTGCTAGGGGAGGGGGCTGTCTTGGGGCTGTCTGTATGTGTCTGAGCCGAGGTTGCTGGGCATTTTGTCTATTTCGGGATCTTCTTCAGGAGGTCTGGGCCCAGAGTGACTGTCAGCTTTGATT